CTACTCATCTTTATCGCGTGTGATTCACTCGGACGAAACTAATATCCAGCACGTTTGCCGGACTATAAAAAGTCAGTTTCTCGCCAGAATTATTCATATTCGCGAGAGAAATTTTCAGTTACGACGCAATATGGAAGTTGCGACTGATCTCAGAGCGAAAATGAACAAAATTTTCTGAATAGATAAAAATAGTGTTGACCAAAAATGCAAAAATTTTTGTTGCATAATAAGTTATAAAACAGAATTGAAGAAGGACATTTGATACTCAACTCGTCAATCCCGCCGTTATTTAAAACCGAAGAAGTTTCAGCAGTTTAAAGATGCAATTGTATATCTAAAACATACCATCTCTCGTTTACTTGGTAATCAGTTGCTTACGTCAAGACAAAAGTCTCATATGGAATCATTTTTATGACTCATAATATTAAAATGTCAGCAGCGTCATTGCTTTCTATACAAAATTATGCAGTCATTATTTATATTTAACACACAAGACACAATCTTTCTTTGAAGAGAGTTAATTACATTTACACATCTCTCTTTCTCTCTCTTTCTCTCTCTTCCTTCACAATTTACAAGTTTCTTTTATTTTTAAATGAATAAAAGATGATAAAATATACAAGATATTGTATAATGAAAAAAAATTGCTTCAAAGTTTTCTCAGACAAACGCTGTTATCTCGATTCTTTTTGAATGAGATCTGACAGAATTAACATCTAGCGTTTATTGAAAGAGACGTTTGCGTAGTGAAATCATAATAACAGCAATGCAGTCGATTCGTAACGTCATCTTCAATTAGCGCAGTCAATGCTAACCAATCGAGACTTGATGCAAGTAGCAGCAAGTAGTAACCGCATGAGCTATTAGCATACCTACAAAACAGTTGCAAGATTATCGACAGCATTCAATACCAATTACCATCTCAAACGAATCATCTCTGAGCGAGTTGGATTTGAAAAGGTCAAGGATTAGCAGGCTGAAGGTTATCACACTAAAAAGTGTCGTGCAGATAATCGCATCTTATTCGCGAGATATTCTAGAATAAAGATGTTCTACGCGAGAGAGAAAATGTTATTACGAGAAAATTAGACGTTGATAAAGAATGCCCATTAATGAACGGCCAATTTTTTAATCGTCCGTTGATAAAAAAAACTGCCAAACATTTGAAATAAAAATATAACTTTAATTGTAAACAGCTGAACGTGTAAAATATTTTGATACAAATTTAAAAAAAAATACTAAATTAAGAAACCGAATGTATCGTCTAACCAGACGCCTGTTTTTTAGATTTAAAGTGCCTCCAAAGCAGGAAGGGACACGATAGCTTAATCTTCTTAGGTTCCTTCCGGGAAGAAATAGATCCTTCGATTCAATATCACGAGCAAACAGAATTAAATCACTCCCTAATCTAAGACACGTCCGCATCGCCTTCCACCCTCTTTTCTAATCTACAATCGCTATGAATGATATGTGAGCGGACAATATACTGTTCCAAAAGTCATAAATTCTAGCGGAAATGACAAATGATTTTTCTCACCACGCTGCCTCTTAATGTAATACAAGCTCTGTATGTCAGAGTAAAAAAAAAAAAGAATTATTGCGTCATAAAATGTCTATCCATAAATTTCTTTCTCCACCAAGGTTAATTAAATGTAAATTAGAAAATCTAAGACATCTAATTGTGTGTGTAAGAAGCTCGCGTGTCTCGCGCGTTTTATGCGATTCGTACGGAGTACCGTAAGGACAACCTTGTCCACGAACGGCGGGAATGTCTCAGGTAGTACAATGCATACCTTCGAGAAGTGTTTGCCATCTGGAGCAGCCACTCGAGTTCGAAGAAATAGCTGCGGTAAATAGGCGAGGTCAGGATGGCTGAAATTTTGCCATTCAAAGACCGGAAGGGAGGCCGTAAATTTCGCATGTGTGAGAATTGTATTACTGACTAGCAACGAATCACTTCATATGGCGACAATGCGCGCGACAATATTGTATGTTGCCATTTTCGTCAAAACGCTTTGCTTCCGTTGCGAGCCGCGTAAGGTAGTGGATGCAATATAAAATTACGGCGTAATCCGACGCTGTACACGTAATCCGAGCAGATAATTCGACTTAAGTGCTCGGCGACGAGTCGACCTTCGAATTAAACCCTCGCGCGCTCGCTTTGATAACAAGGAATGTGAAAATCTACATGCGACGTCCCACGCATTTTTTTTCCTCTTATCTTCCACGCGCCTTTTCAGTTGAGATCATAAAAAAAAATTCGCGTCATCAAGGGGAGAATTTGCCGGCTATGAATTGAAGAAAGATTTGCTGCAAAAATTCACAAAAAATCTTAATAATTCCAACTTGATGATTTTGAAATAGAAAAATTTAGCATAACAATGATTCTCTTGATAAGATCTTAATTTTTCGTTTCTAATTAGAATATTGCATAGTGCAACCCGAATAATATAATTCAGAGTCGCGAAAAGAGAGAGAGCTCTGCGGTGTCACTGGCGGGTTTTCTGAGGCTTCGTGGAAGAGTCGTAAGAAGAATGCAGTCTTGTCGAGTTACTGACGTACGGTATATCGGCTCGAATATCACTTTTTCCAAGACTTTCTTCCCTCGCGACGCCACGAAGCCACGTGTCTTGCCAGCGAGTGTCAATTATTCGATTGAAATTTTGTAACACACATCGAAATCATAAAACTTTGCACAATTAGATTTTCGCGATACACCAACTTCTATGTTACGTGAGATCTGATCAGACTACGTGCTTCGAAGATGCTTGCGCAACTTGTTTACACATTGTAACGCGAAATTTATGGGGCAGACGAATCAGAATAATGAAGCAATTAAAGAGGATAGCTTAAAATTGTTCTCGACTCCAAAGTGCGACTCGCGTGACAACAAGCGCGAGACATGAGAGAATTTGACCATTATTACGTTAGCTTCATCTAAACAGATAAAATACAAAGTTGATATTATTTTAATTAATACTTTTTAACATCTACGTAATAAATTCAAGAATTTGCACCATCAATGCGTTATTTTCGTCGAAACTTACAGCTTGAAGTTGTCAATTTTTGCGAACACCGCATCTAAAGTTCGAATCTCATCTTTTCAACGTCGTATACATTCGCGTCAGAGCGATCTAAGCTACGCGATCCATCGGATCGCGGTTACATGCGCTCCAGGACACCCAGTGTATTTACATAAGACTCCGCTACGGAGTCCGGTAATACGCGTCGGTCCGGTTCGGAGTGGTCGAGTGGCGGCGATGCGACGGAAACCTGCACGACCACGCTAACCTGTTGGGGCCAGCGCGGCAGGGGCAAAAAAGGAAAGAGGACCAGTCAACAAAAGATATGGCTGCCGGATTTTTCTACCTGGCTCCGTCGCACACCGCACATGTGCAATGCACTCATCTCTTGAGAGAGAATTCATCATCTTTCTTCAATATTCTTCGAAATTGAAATGTATATGTCATTAAAATGGAGATTACTCTCGTCAAAACGCGTGTAATCTCAATTATCATTAACGATAAAGTCATAAAGTGAATAATATGACGGTATGATAGATAGGTATGATAGATATGTGTCTTTAAAAAAAATTGCAGTCTTTTCTTTTCATTGTAACAGTTATCTTATCAAATTATTATCGATTATTACGAAACGGGGTAATTTTATGTCATCGTTTGTTGTTTACGTTTGTTTTACAGTTCAACGGTCTAAATCATTCGCTCTCGCCGAATCGATGATACCTAATGAATATCCGGCCTGCAAAAGCGAAAATATCGACATTCGCGTGAAATCATCATTATCGCACGCATAGAAGGGGTGTCACGCTCGAGATATGATGAGTTATTCCTTATCGCGCGACCGTCGGGTAAACAGCGTGCTCGAATTCTTCTCCCCTCACCGGAAACGTTTCTTCGCTGTGCGTTTATTCGGAAATTTCAGGCCGCCACGCTGCCACGCGGAAATTATTTTGCAGAAGCAAACGAAATTTAACGGATGGCTGAAAGCAGAGCTAGCGAAGGGAAACCATTCTGTTCTAGCAGATTTTATTTCTCAAGTGTACGAGTATTGATAGAAAAAAAAATGTATTCCATATGTAATCGATAGTATCAACAATAATGGAACACCCTGTATAAGAATGTATAGATAAACTCGTTCAATCGACCGGAATTGATTAATTCAACGAGAACGAAAAGGTCCTGCATCGGCTTGATGCAGGGACGTTTTTTCATCTCGTCAAGTTAATCGATTTCGAAAAAAATTAAGCAATAATTAAGATTATCGAGATGACTTGTGAGTCTATCATATTCTTATATATCACATGCTTTTCGAATAAAAATAACGGTAAAATTTTATGCAGAGAATTGTAAATCTAATTTGTATTAAACTGTAAGATTTTATCATTTATTTTTCTCTGCTTTTACAATTAAATTAAAATATTACTAATTATATTCTGAATAATTTTTATGCAATATATAAAAAATATGACGTTCGAAATATGTTCGAGCAAATAAACGAAACGGTTGGTCCATTAACGTTGGTTATGCGTTTGTTTACAGAGACTTTACTATTCTATTTCGATCTATCGCGATGTCCCGAATGAAATTTTCCCAATTGTGTTTTATTTTATACTTGTGATCATTTAGAAAAACAAGCTTCAGCAGATTATCATTGAAGTGGTACTTATGTAACCTGTTTCGTAATCTTTCACACTCGTGAATAAAACACGATAGAACGATATGTGCTCCGAATATCGTTTCACTTGAATTTGCACAATGCATGCGCGCCGCTTAGCGCCGGTCGCTTCAAAATCGGAGCAGCGTCGGTGATTTCAATAATCGTATCGAAGTCTATTCGATACAAATGTAGGCGAGTCAAGTAAAATCGCATTTCATACTAATGCGCGGCGAAAGTGCCGGAGAAGGAAAAAAGAGAAATGAGCGACGAGTGACAAAAGTGGGCAGAGAAGAGAGATAGAAAAAAAGGATGAAGAAACTCACCGAGATCCTCCACGAGGCGCAGCATAACACCGCCGATGTGCAGCTCTCCCTTCACGCGTAAAGTCCTCTCGACCTGCAGATCCGTCACGTAGACGTGCAGCACCCAGCTGCCGTCCACCTCGTGGCCATCGGAGTACATGTTGGACGATTTCTCCTCTTGTCACCAGATGTACGATGAAACGGCAAGACGGAGGAATCTCTCAACGGAGTCTGTTCTTTTTTTTTTTTGCGGCACGAACACACACGCCGCGGCGATCCGTCACTTATTTGCGATTGTTCTCCTAAAGTGCAGTTCAACGTTCGGCGAACATGTTTCGCGAAACAATATCCGTTACGACGATTATAACTGAAGACCGACCGTACGTCGCGCACAACACACCACTGCCACGCGATCACGCGCGATAAAACCGCGCGGCGGGGCTGCTCCTTCTCTCGGCTTGTGACTTTACTGCCGCGCGTGCATACACGTACGCGTTCACATGCGTGTGTGATCTTGTGCTACTCGAAGTGGATCGCGCGACGCACCACCTCCTCTTTCGCTCCTCTCTCGAACGCGAATGAGATTCAAATGTCGGCGGAGGTGTTCGAGAACGTCGCATCGGCTGTCTCCGGTACGATTCGGGCGCGCTCGCCAATGTCACATGTCACCGCGTCTCTCGTGGCGCGCACATTTGATTGCTCTTTGCGCGGCAAAAATTACGTTCTCGAGTATTCTCATGAAAAATGGTAAATTTCCAAATTGTAAAATAAAATATTATAGATGATAATTAATATTCCATGCTTTATTTTAAATAAATCATTTTGTAAACTGAAACATGATATTGTAAAATAGATTTTTGTAAGTCAGTTTCTTGCTTTCTTTCTTTTTTCATTCAATTTGATACTTTTTAAATGCTTCCATCCTTTTTTTTATTAATTTTTTTATTATGCATGTAAATATGATTTATGTCTATGACGTTGTAAATTTATTTTAAATACGTATGTAAAACTGCAACAATAATCAACATATTTTTAATTTAAAAGATAAATTGAACGACAATGCATTGAGAGAAAAACATAACAACATGAAAAGTATTAAAAAATGTAAGGAAATTTTAATTTTATATATGCAATGTTTTAATATAATGAAAGGAACATCTTTTTTCAGTTTGATAAATGAAAAATAAAAAGTAGAGTTATACAATAAATATATCTAATATTTTTCATACAAAGGCTTTTTAAGATAAATTCGTAAAAGTAATTACAGGAGATATATGGGGAATAATATTGGCAGTGTTAGGTTCAAACCAGGCTTAACTGAAATTAATATAGCAAAAACAAATTATTTCTAAAGTGGAGAGAAACTACTTTTGCGTAAAATGTGATTCGCAAATACCTTGATTAATTCTGCAAAATACCTCAACTTGACTTTATTTTCATAATCTACATTCATAATATTAAAATGAATGAATATACATTCATCCGCGGTGTCCGAGGTGAAAAGTGCACGGCGCCGAGAAGCCGTACGTGAGTTCTTTCGCAACGAATAACCTCATCATTCCATTCCAAACGTGGACATTAATAAATCGTGGATATAGCGTCGTCTAACTAAGTTTGCTAAGTCATTACAAATGCTCGAAACATCTAAAATTCATAAAAATATTCACTCTCATGCTAAGTATTCCGCTTTGGGAGGGTAATATAGTCGAGTTCAACGACACGTGAAGAACACTTTTCACCTGGGATTTAGAGAAATGATACTTACGTTTTGTGTTTGTCGTGCAATTAACGATCATTTCTATCTAAGAGTACAAGGAAAGAATACTGCATTTCGTCATGTCAAACGATACCTTATGTCACTCTCTCTTTCTCTCTTTCTCTCTCTTTCTCTCGCTTTTTTTGCAGTAAAAAAAATAGTCGGCGCATTAAATGTCTACTTCAATACCGACGTGACAGCCTTTTATTTTTATATTTTTTACATTAGGGATATTAGTATCGGACTGAAACGTGTTTAAGGTCACAGCACACCTGGAGGGAATTGAATTTGCAGTCGCTTTACAGTCCGTGAATTCTTTGGTACTTAACACTTTTCAACGTTGTACTCTTAGATACTTGCTAATGCGCTGCGCGAATTGTCGAATCACAAATCAGACATGCCCGACGCGATTTGTAACAAAAAAACAAAAAAAATACAAGGTAATAATTATTACAAATCACAATATAAACATACGAAGATCAGAGATGTACAATTAGTTAAACAATTAGTTAAAAATCGTTATTTAAACGTTAAATTTTTTTTTATTGCACCAACCTGGATTTTATTTCATCTTGCGTGATCGGCAGCACCGACAATTCCGGCTAATTGCGATCAATAATTCTCCGCTCTTTTCTAGATCACAGTCTGTTCTCGCGATGCAGATGGGAAAATTCAGTTAACCGCAATTAACAGTGAATAATGTTAATGCCAACCGGCCACCGATAACTATTCCTGCCGTCAACTCTCGCGTGCAAGCGTGTGTTCGAAGTTTGAGAATCATAGCACAACTGAGGGCCCGAATCCGACGATCCGTCTACATTTTTGCGCAAGCAAAGACAAGTATCACGGGTGTCAGCGGAGTAAGCGGAGTTTCGCGAAGAAACAAAAATGAGGTACGTCAGCTTATACGCCAAGTCCGATGAGACGCCGCGACGCAAAGTCGCAGTTCGCGCTATTTAAAAAAAACATAGCGCGGTAAATTGGACTCGAGCGCAAATCATCCGTAACATTAATAATTCCTCCATGTTAGATAATAATAAGCATTCAACATGCAGGAGAGAACGCCGCGTTAAAGACGTTACGTCGGATATCTTGGAACGTGATGGTGCGTGCTTCGACATTTGTCCGTCGCACGCGATTCGTCTCGTCTGGATTTGCGAAAGTTGAGCCAAAATGCTTGTACGCGGAAGCATTCGTCATTCGCGTGACGTCGCACTTCCTCCAAACGCTTCAAACGGAAACAACTTCCCTCAAATGTTTCGAGACTGAGATCGCTCGCGTTCTTCAGACATTCAACTGTTTGAAATAATATCTGCAGTACACCGACATCATTGTCGGTGGCGCGTCAATTTTATGCAATAACTTTTCCTCGTTCTCGGAGAATTTCTCCAGCGATAAACTGTATTCTCTGTCAAAAACGCCTGCAAAAGGATAATCATTTGTTAGATACAGAATTATGATGCTGCAAGCGAATTCGATAAATATTTCATCAGTAAACAGATTAGTTATTTTGAGGAAATTACTCTTGCTCTCTTGCTCTTTAATTATATTCACAGCTTACCTTGGTCAATATTCGTCCTGCCTAATACAGTAAATGCTAGAAACAGGACATCTCTGTATATAGAAAACGGATGATCGCCTGTTTGATGTTTACTTCTTTCTAAGGCCACTCTTATTATAGGTTCTGCTAAATCGTTGCAACGGACATACGTGATCACTGTCTGCATTAACCTAAAAGCGAAGAATTCACAAAATAATAGTCACCATTTTCTGATATCTAGTAATTCAAAGGTGCTGCCGTTGTTTATTCAAGCAATTCACACTTGTGTCAGTAATGTGGAAGGCAATTTGTTGAAACTTACGTTCTATCCTCTGTAGAATTTAATTTCCATTGAAGATACATAGGCAAACGATCCATGTGTAGACACTCGTTATCCCACATGGTTCTAACACCTACTGATCCTACTGCTCTTTGCACCTCCAAGTTTTTATCGCTGTTCAGCCAGAGATCGGGTAGATGACTTGTTAAATTGATCCTTTCGAAATACCAGATCAGATTCCAATACACTATCGGATGCTCCTGGATGAACCTGTGCTTGGTAAGGCAAGCATCCCCTTCTTGACTCAACACACTCTCCAATTCTTTTCTCAGAACTAGTGGATTTAAATATGGCACCGTTATAGGTTCCAACGATTCTTTCGGTCGATCTAACAATTCTACCAGTGCTCCCATCAAAGGGTCATTATTCTTTTCACTCGCTTCGCATCTACGACAAATATATATTCATCAATAACTTATTCATTTTCGAGGATAATGCAATACGGACGAATAGCCACCTGTAGTCTAATATTGTAACTGTGAGAAGGGGTACGGTCGCCTTGTCACAATACTGACACACTGTGTTCAAATTTGAATCCTCCGGCTGCCAGCCAGCCATGATCTCCTCGTCGTACAGAATAGCGGCGCAATGATGACACCTACTCGCACTGGAAAGCACAAGTTCGATGGCAAGACGTTCTTCTAATTCTCTAGTGCCCTTTGGATACAGGCATTCTGCGAGTTCGTATAATGAACATAAATCTAAATTTCCATCACCTGTTTAAAAGAAAAAAAAAAAAAGCGAACATTATTTCTTTGCATATATAATCACACATATTGAAATCAAAAGTTTATTCAAGTTTTGTTCGATATACGATGATTCGAGTTTGATTTTTAGTCTAAAATTCGAACAAACTCTCGGTCCATCGCTCATTCTACGTGCCTGACGCTCTTGTCGAAGTTTCATTTCGATCCTGTAAGGATCCATCAGTGAGGGAATCCAGAGATTCGTGCGATACGCCGTAGGCAAGCTTTTGTTCGCGTTCCTTAATTTTTACCGGCGTACTTGTCGCCGAGATGGCTTCCTTTATTTCGTCGAATTTCTTCACAACGGTTGTCGCAGCAGACTTCAAGCTGTTGAGACCACCGAGTATTATCTCGTTCGACTTCTTCCCTGTCAAACTCGATGGACTAAAATAAAAATGTATAATATATAAGAAACGAGAACGAAGAAGGGGAAAAAAGTTTGTTTCGATAAAACTTAACACTTCTTCTAACAATAAGGAAGCAACATGAAGACAGAACGCATGTCTAAGGAGCATCTACGCAACTAACATTTACATTACATACCTGATGTAGCTGGAGAGACTAAGAGATTCAATAAGTTGAGTCGACGATATTAAATCCTTATTTTTAGCAAATGCCAATCCACCCGTGGAGTATCGTCTACATTTAACGGGTGAAAGAACAAACAAAAAAAAAACTCAAATACGCATGCAAAACAATAAACAAAAATAAAATAATGTAATTCCTCCATTAGTGTGATTAAGAATATATATTCAATCATCGCTCTTATGTGTATATATTCATAATAATTCTCGACATACACATGCATCGACACTTGGCATTAGTAATTTTGTTAAAACTTAATGTTATTTATTCACATACTTAATACAACACATTTCTATATATATATTATATATATATACAGGATGATTAAAGGTGTTGCAGGTTAATATTTCTGAAACTGAACTGAAGATATGAAATTCTCATTTTCCAGCGACTGTTTGGTATCAAAGCGGGCCATGTGTGATGAAATTAATTCTTTTTTAAACGAAGTCGTTAAGGTCATTTCAAAGACACCTTGACTTTTTCAACTAACATGTATTTTTTATTAAGTACAATTGTAACCCGTCTCTTCGCTTCGCAAACAGTCGCTGGAAAATAAGAATTTCATATCTCGTTTCAGTTTCAGAAATATTATCCTGTAACGCCTTTAGTGAGCCACCCTGTATATATTCTACATATATATATATCTTTTTACATTTATAAAATAATTACGTCATGCAGATATGTTGTCGCCACACTTTGGAGAAATGAAGTAAAAAAAGTACACTAAACTATCATTGAACTACGGATTTAGGTGCAAATTGTTAAATTAAATACCTTACAGATATCTTACCCGAAACTAATTTTAAGACTAGATCCTAAGCTAGAGAGGCTGGATGTTACACTATCCTTATTCTGAGACCAAAGACTGCTTATTTCTAGTCTCTCCTTTTCTCTCTCCTGTTCGCCCTGCTGCGCCACGGAGTGCGGCATCGTCTCACTCCTCTGTAAATGCCCGCCCACTGTCACACCACTTTCATCTACTGCTTGATGAAAGGTTGCACTACGTGGGAGAATGTTGCTGGAAACATTCGAGTAATTTTTGCATGTAATATCACATATACATGGTATGCTGTGCATTATTTTTGTAAATTATAAAGCGCGAGTGACAATTGGCTTTTACAAAGAAAATATCTTTACTGTGCAAGTACTCGTGATTACTTCAATCAGCAATAACAGTTTTCCATTAAGTGGTTGCAAATTATGATTTTACATGGTCTTTTTTCTCATTTATTTCGATAACTTTATCGAAAATTACAATATTCTACTTCTAAATCTCAGTTTTTTTTTTCTCACTTATATATTTATATTGATATTCAATGTTTTGCATGCAGATACAATATGTGGATTATCATACCTTCTAAATAAGAGCGGCCCTCCTGGTCTCTCTTCAGTTGTATTATTTAAAACGGTTAAAGTACTTGTTGAGCAATTCGAATCGTTCTCCTCGGAAGGTGACACAATCGGTGTTTCGTCATTAATGAGAGCACCCAATGGGTCATTTTCCGTAACTGGTGTGCGTATGGGACTTTTTAATGGTGATTCAACACTGCGCGTTAGCCTACATAGAAAATATTACGTCTACATAAAGCCTATACATGCAAATTAGCGTTGTAAAATTCAATACAGAACGCATATTAATTATTACATAAGATTTCGGTGACGAAAATGGTCTACACAATGAATACTCGCTTGCATCTGCTACTGTATAAACACTAGTGAAACAATATAATATAATCTAAAGAACAAGCAATTTGAGCAAACCTGATAGCGACACTAACGTTCAAGTCCTATAATAGCGAACACGATACCTTGGATTACTCGGTGCCTGATCCAACTCGTCCGACTGTAACATACTTAATGTTGCTTGATCTTTCACAATACTGTTTTGTCGAAGGAGCTTGGCTTTTAATTCAAACGATCCAAATCCAGGTAAATCCGACACAGAGCTGCCTTTCGTGGCTGCCAGAAAAAAAAGGAAGACATTATTGTTAGAAAATTAGTGGGAGCCAGTCGAGCTGTGTATAAAAACGTCCGTACAATCGCTGTGCGCAGCTTCTGTGTCTTGAGAATGAGAACTATCAAGACTAGACCGGGAGAGCGCATGCTCCATGCCTTCAGTCTTATCGGTGGTTAAAAAGTCCACGTTAGAGCTCAGTCGTCTTCTAGCACTCTTCTTTCCAGCCTTTTTAAATAAAGCTGCACCGACAATAACATTTCGCAGTTTGTTCCACATCAACTGACTCGAATTTGTCATGTCAGAAGGCCATGTTGCCTCGAGAACAGCCTGTAAGCATAAAGAAATATGAAAATTCTCAAAATAATAACACAGCATGCGCTATGTAAAACAATTTATGCTCTCTGCTATCGAGTTATTGTTATATTTTTATCAGTTGGAGAAGAAATTAATAATCTACCTTGTTGTAAAATCCGTATGTTAAAGCATTAGGTTGAACACCACTACGTTTCATATGAAACAATAATTTTACAGCTAAAACTGGTTGACCATAAACGCCGCAAAGCTGCATCATAGCTCGATAGCACACCTAAAATAATGACAAATGTCTGTTCAAAAGCATTTCTTCTTTCTTTCATACCAATTTAACTCGGGATTCTCATACCTCTTCCATAGGATCGAGACGCAATTTTTGCATTTTAACTAATAACTCGTAAGCTTGATGCAAAATTGCAGCAGGTTGGCTAGAAACTTGCAACATAGCCGGCAAGTGCAGAAACCAAAGGCTGTAGCATGTGCCAAGCAGACACCTGCCCCATCTGTCAGGCATCGCAGCCTGAATGAAAGTGACAACAAAATTATAAATTTACTTGCGCAAAAGTCTCCGTCTGTTTCAATCGCTTCACTCACTTGTTTTCGAGCCATTTTTTGAGCAACTTTGATTTCGTGCTTTGTTCTACGAGCCATAGGACTCCCAGGTACCATACCGAAGGCACTTAAAGATGGATTCTTCAAGCAGAAGTTCTTCTGAGGCCTCATCAGATCTGGATTCAATTTGAATGATTTGTATATTATTGGTGTTTGATTTGTCCCTGCTTCAGGCGGAGGTATAAATACTGTGCGTTCACTGTGCTGAGATTCATCCAGTTCCAAGAGAGTTACTGAAAATCGAATAAGCAAGGAAAACTGTTATACATCTGCGAAAAACACTTTTAAATATTGCATTTAGCAAATATATACATAATAGACAAAAAATATCTGGATAAACAAATAGAGAACAAGATTTCGATTCTCAGAGACTTTAAAAGTATTAGAAGACACGTCTATATATATTGTTAGTGTAATAAATGTCTTATTCACCAATCATGCAACTTTTATAAATACTTGATGAATACTTCGAAATTTATGTGAGAAAATATATCGAAAACTATGGCGTTATTTTTAGTTTTTTGAGAAAATTGTCGTATTCTTGCATAATAAGATCAAAATTGGAATTAGTAGCGTAGAGAAAAATATTTTAAGCTATGCATACCATTTTCTTCCTCAACTCGTTCTGTACACTCGTCAAAAAACGCTAATCCTGCCATATCCATATCGGACACAAAACTTCTTTCTTCTATGAACCTGTGAAATTTACAATTTCGTTAGAATAAAGCTACTATTATATACAAATGAAATATGACAGATTGGCATGAAATTTGAACAATATATAAATTAACTTGCCTAATAAACATCTGTGTCCTGACAAGCATGGTGTAAAATTTAGCGTGAGCTTTATCGCGACTCCTCAAAAACGCTTGGATATTAAACAAACTCGTGGGATCCGTTGTTCCAACGGTAGGTGCTTTTGTGATCGGCAACAAATAACTTCGATATCCTTTGAGAATCGTCGCCATAAATCTCAAGAAGGCATCCTGAATTTCGAGTTCCAAAGCTTGCTCCCTTCGTTTTTGTTGAAATTCTCTGTCCACGCTGAAATCTTCGTCTCCGCGATCTACAATACGGAAATGGTAAGTAATCACAATAAATAAATAAAAATGTAACAAATATAAATCAACATACCTTTCTGGGAACAGTTTGTCTTTCCCCACGAAATAATTTTCGACGATAAAAGCTCCAACCAATTTCTGAGCTGCCGAGCTGCCTTTTTAGGAAGCAACTTCACACTTAAATATTTCTTATCGTCGCAAATTGCAATATTATTTGTATCCAAATTGACGCAATTAACGTCAGAAGGAGGATCGTATAAGTCGAAGAATCTTGAATCCACACCAATTAAGAACGGCAACGGTGCATGCAATACCTGTAATTTAACTATCAATAAGTCTCTTTTCCATTTTTTGCGCTTGAATAATTAGTAAAAAAAAAACCACATTACCTCTGCTAATCCCAGCGGACACAAAGGTATATAAGGACACTGCCATTTGAAAGGAAATAGAATCATAGCGATGGCTTCGCTCACTGAAGTAAGTACGTCCGGGCGTAAAGAGTGAACCAGTATTTTCTGCTCGGTTAATATTAACAACAGTATCAGCAGACAGTTGTCAGGTCCCAGATTTATCAGCAACTGCCGAAAACTTGCGCCCGATCTGGGTAGAGCCAGATCCTCCGGCTGCGTCAAGATCAGTCTGTCCTGACTGCTGAGCTGCACCAAGATCCTCGGACGTTGCGGGCTCGGAAACGGTATATCGCACAAGAAATACGATATGTACTTTTCGATCGGCACACTCTGCGGCTTGCCGTTCACCATGCCGTGCAGGAAAACCAAGAACTTCTCGAACGTGTCGAAGAACGGCCAGTGAGACAGTATGCATATGGATTTGCTGATGTTCAGCGACTGGTTCGCGGGGTCTGTGTACTGCAACTTTTCCAATTGCAATATATTAAGCTTCTTAAGTATGCCGGATCCCTTGAATATCTTCATTTTCACCTGCGGCTTGTCTTTAGTGATTTCAGTATCTGCGGAAATAAAGACACGTGTGATAAAGCTGTGAATGTTATGAAATATTTCATATTACGCACAGATCTAATACAATTACGAAAACCAAAGGTATAAAGATTATGAAAATACATTTGTACCGCTATTTTTGTTATTCTCGTCAACGGTGTCCATGATCTCCTGATTGTTTATGCAATTTGGAGTTTCCAATTCCAGTTGAAGCTCCTCGTAAAATGTTATTGCTGAGCCGTATATCTTTTGAGCAGCATCGGCAACCGTTAAGACGAATGTCGAGAATACTGGTTTAGGTTTACACGCTACTTTAGGCCAGCATTCTATAGTTGCGCCCATCGGTAAACAAAACATGGCGACGGAGTTTGGAAAGACAAAACTGCTGTAATCAGCCATGGGATATTTGTAGAGTATTGCCGGTTTGAATGATATCAGATTCGCGCGATTCATAGACTTCTTGTAGCACAAAAATACATCGCTGCCTAGCATTCCTTTGTTTAAATTCTTATTGATAACGCAGAATGCGTGGGGCGGGCTCTCCCCTTTATTCGTTAAGATAACACATATGTCGGTAACGACAAGAGAATTGCAAGGCATCTTCCGACTTGCTCGTCTATATGTTACAAAAATTTTTGAAGTAGAATTATTTACATTCGCCACATGGCCTTTAGGGGTTTCTAATACTATTTCAGCATCCTGCATTATACGTTCTTTCCCGTCATATATTACACCTGCAAAGTCAAAGATTTTTCAGATAATGCGTAAAATAATACAAAAAAAAAAAACTATTAACAGTTTCACTATTTTAGTGACATCTAGAGTTTTTTATACATTATTTCTTACAATTTAGTCTTGTTACTATTTTGTGTAGAGAAATCAGAGACATACAAAACATGTATTTTATATTTGCTCTTCAAAACTATAAACAGAACTGTTATCTCTCAAATTCTACAGCCAATTAAGTTTTCTAAAGTAGATCTTAACGTTTACTTTTGTAATCTTTATGTGTGTTTGCTCTTTTTCCTTACCGATATCGACTAAAGGAGGCTTATCTCGTCCTCTTCTATAACATAAGTAACACTCGTTTGTTCGTAAGCTCCCATGATTCAAGTCCGCGGGGAAACCCATTACGGTTTGATCCAACAGTGTGTATCCCTCCGGACAGTGTTCTCCCAATGCAGGGAATATTACAGCAAGATCCGTGATCGGAGGTGGCATATGCATGTCCTTCAGATGAGTGCCTTCCTGGCACCAGTCCTCCAGTTTGTCATTAGTCTCGCTGTCTTGACTGTGATCGTCATCTTGCCCGGGTAAACCGGCGATAACAAAATAATCCGCTACCCTTCTCTCATCCATATTTATCAAATGATAGAGACTACTATCTGAACATCCAGGATACCCTCAGTCAGACTTCGTCCTCGGTACCTTTCATATCGCAGATACAATAATATTAATTTCAGCAGGCAGAAATATTCATGGCACTAAGCTGATTGTTCTTGAAGCTTTTCCCTATGCGTGGCACTCGATACAGCGTGTGATTTTTCCACGCAAAGTTGACTGACACTTTATATAAAAAGTATTCTCCTTTGTGTACGCCGCACAATAATCTGTACAGCCAATTCTCCACGTGACGCCTTAAGAATAATACTATTATTTGTAATCTGTGCTGGTCCTGCGCTCTTCACAGGCTTATAATCTTACAAAAATATTTCAGCTACCACTGGTGCATGGAGTGGAGTATTCTTTCCGCGATGGCCACGCTATTATTGCTTAAATACAAATGAAATTTTGGTCAAAATCATCAAAGTGCGTCGCAGAAGCCTTAATTTCTCAATGAAATCTCTCACGCAACGCAAACGATGTCCCAGTATGCTAAACTAGGAAGAAGCGACAAATATTTTATTGTACAATTCGTTGATTATCGTTCAATTGCTCGGAGTAGACGTTTGTACAGTTCTTCGCGCAGTTTCGAGCGCGTTGTCGTGCGTCGCCGATGTACACGAGTGAATTCTCCCTCGGTTTGTAAATAGGAAGCGATCCCCGTGCAGCCGGCGAGAACTCGACGAATAATGATCTGCGAGATCTGCAATCACTTCCCGACAATATTATCCGTCGAACTCATCGATCATCGCTGCGATCGCGTTTCTCCACGGCGTAGATCGAAATAACGCGACTCTATTCCACTCGTGATCCACTACTCCTACGTGTTCTCGAACGGAGAGTCATAGGTTAGACGTCACACACGCGACAGTTACACAAGTGCATTCTACAGTGACGTTGCTGCACGTTGCGTGACTGACGAACGAATCGTCGGCACGTTGTCGCCGTTGCCGCTGTGCGTCACGATGTAAACACGCGCTACGTGCCGTAACGCATCGACGAAACTGCGCTGTTGTTTTGACGAAACGCGCTCCTGAAGGAATTCGCGTGTATGTTGATGTCAGAGATGGCCATTAGTTTCTTCGGGCGGCAAAATGGCCGATGGCACCGTGTCGTAGCTTCGCGAGGCCCCGCGCGAAAGCGAGAGAGCGACAGCGATAAACGGCGAACATTTCTTTGTACAATTATGCTCGGATTTGATAGGAAAAACGTATCGGCCGCTGTAAGACGCGTCGCATTGTGCGCTGACGAACTCGCGAGGCTACAATATATGCCGCATCATGCTCTTTTTTCTCTTCCTTTTTTGTATTAAAAACTTAAAGTCCACGAGGTCATTTGAATCGGCGGGGATAATAGAGTTGTTTCAAAATAACAATGCGTCAATAATCGATTGTATTTATCCCTCGTTCGTCTAACGTAGAGATTGATTGCACTAATTGCGTAATTATCTAAAAATTAATAATAGTTTCAATAAAATATTATAACGATAATAATAGATTCGATAATTTGTGGCTTATTTTTTATATCGTATTCACTTTTCGATCTTAAATAATAACAAAATTGATATCAAGATTTTTGTGTTTTATTAAGGGATTCTGAAATCCGCGAATATTTTTTAATAGTACATTTTCCGATTTCTCTGAATTTGGAGTCGATTTCTTTTAAATAAAATGTCGAAATTATCATTTATTACACTTTTAATCACATCATTATCATCTTTTCAACTTTCAATATCATATATTTTTTAAGCTATAAATAAAAATTGCATATTAAAATCTACTTAAACTCAATTAAAGAATATTCTATTGTTTATTTTGGAAATTTCAATATTCCGACACATTTTTGCCGACAAAAATTTCAAATTCTAAATCAGCTAAAGTGCTCTGGCAATCAAAAGACACAAATTAAATTAAGACACAATTTAAGATGACCTATATATAAAGTATTTGCTCGGCATTAGCAATTGCAACAAACAAGACAAATAATTCTGCTGTAAAACAGTCGCACACTTTCTTTCAAGCACAGAAAATATATAAAAAGTAAAATAATGTAATTAAAAATAATAGTTTTAACATTTTTGCATTTAATTAAAAAAAAAAGTGGCTATAAGATGTAGAAATGCATGGTAGTCATACAATTAGACAAAAAATGATATGTAGCATTAATAAGATACTAAATAAATATATATTTTTTATTTCTTATCTATCCTTTTATCATTTGGATGAAATGTTTTGAACACAGTTTTTACCAGACATTGCTCCATTAAGGGGCATATGCTCTTATGAGTTTCATTTAAAATGTCCATCAAATGCGCTATAGTATTTGTCTCGATGCTTCCCATCATATACATTTCAGATATCTGACCGTGCTGTGGAAGAGTGGCTTGTACTATAATTCCATGCTCCTGAGTTATATTTGATACAGATTTAGCGCAACAAAATGTCTCTTCTGTATCTGTTGGATCCACAAAATACTCCTTATCATATATAGCCTGTCAAACAATCATAAAATTGTTATCACAAGTTATTATTTATTAATTAAGAACTTAATGTAATAATCTACGCACAACAGTAGATGCAGTGACCAAGCCAAACATTGGTACACCCGCATTTGCTAAAGCTAAACTAGCTGCCATGATTGCTGCAGCCAACGCAGAACCTCCATTGTCAAGAACTATTGCATAGACATCGACTTGGAAATTAGGAAACTCTTGCTGAAAAAAATATAGATGTAGCAGTAATCACATGTTCAAAGTATGTAAGTTAGCCATGTTACAAGGATTTTTATATATTATTATTAAAATAAAAATAGGAAACTATATACCAGACACACTGCTGGCTCTAAAGCTCTTTGTAGTATCAAACTATACTCTTTTTCTTCGGCATCTTGCTGATGTAGTTTCCGTTTGCGATGAGAGAAAGGTGCAAATTTGAATTCACAAAATAATTCCCCTTTGACGCAGTAACCAGTCTTATTGTGCACTTCTCTAGGATCAAATACTGAGCAAATGACCTTGGTGTCGCCCATTTCGATATAAGCAGAACCTTTAGCTTGACTAATTATACCTGTTTTCAAAACTGTCAACAAAATTTCTTTACACATTTTCAATATAAGAAAATTAAATTTTGCATGGGGAGCTCATTAATTGAGCACATGACATAACCTCAATTATAACCTTACATATATTTCTAAGCTCATTATGTGAGCGACCGTGTCTTTTCGGAATGTTAGATTGCATTCCACTGTCTTTTGCTTCGGATGGAATATAAATTTCATATGGCACAGAAGTTTCTGGCCCGTTGATTCGCTTCTGATCGATCGGCATCGTATATATACAAACGACAATATTCAGTAATCCTACTTTACGTGGAAAAATGGAGTCTAACCTATATTTGACAAATGTTACAGGACCCCTACATACGTGTTCTGTCAAAAATAGTACGCCTAATCATTTCTTTTATCTTCGACTTTATATAAACATTTCAAAGTTTCTTTGTTGATGTATTCGCCCTTGAAAGCCATAAAAATTGTCTGAATTACTTTTATTTAATCTATGTAATTTTTAAATTAATTTTATTGTCAAAAATAAATATCTTCTATTTCTGATGGAAACCTACACATTAACATCACATACACATGTCGATTTGTAATAGCAATTTCCTATTTTTATACTCAAGATAGACTGTAACATTAATATAAAATATAGTTTGTATAATAATTTGGGGATTATAAAGAAATATAAATTTAATAAACTAAAAAGAAACATTCTTTTAAACCAAGTATTGACATAACATGATTTCACACTTTGTTTTCCATGAAAAAAATACAAAATATATTTAAATACTTAGATATATTTATTTAGAAACATAATTTAGCAAAATTAAAAAACTATATTTTTAATACAAGATATTTTTTTATATAATTTTGAAAATAATAGCATCCATTAATCTGTGCTCTTTTTATACTTTCGAGATTGTCTATGCACAGACAACTCACTCTTTAATTGTGAAGCTTTTTCTTTGACTGTGATGATACTTTTATTTAATTCTTGTACCTAAAAAAAAATTAACATAATATTTATGTATTGTTAAATATAAGGCAAAAAGTTAAATATATTGCTCATTAAAATTTACGAATACAAATCCATATATAAATATACTTACATATTCTTTGATTTTGTGCTTTTTGTACAAATTATATAGTTCATTCACTGTCCATTCTGATTCATTTTGTTTATTTAATTTTACAAATGGGCAATCCGATTTATGCTTTACATGTTCACTCCTATAAGCAAGTTTGAAAATTTTGGTAAAAGTAATAAATAATATTTATATATAAAACTAGCATATATGACATACCATGGATCATCCTCTCGCTCCCAACCGTCAAGCTGCTTGCCACAAATGAAACATTCGACCAAGTCTGGTTCATCATTATTTCCAATAGAATAAAACCCAGCAGCAGCCATGCTCTTGACATTGCACTTGTCAGATTCCTTGAAGGGCCAATTATCAAATGTCTTTATTCTGCCTTGCCTCCAAAAGACAGAAGTAGCCTCCCTGAAAAACAGAACGTGAGATAACCTAACACATTATATATTAATGCATGATTACTTTCAGCAATCTTGTTTGCCAAAGACTCGTTAAAAACTAACACTATTCGCAGCTACAAATCGTAAAAGAGCGTAAACTTTAAACTTGCAAGTTAACAACAAAGTATTTTTTCATATATACACAATATTTAGTTTGATCTATCATGACTTTAAACCTCACTTATTTTTACAATAAGCAGACTTACGGCATTTCCCCGGTGCCAATAATCATATTGTTCAAATAATTTTTAATCAACGTGAAGAGGTTTTCTCCCGTCAAATTTGCTGAAATTAATGTCACGTATTCTTCGTAGACTGTCGTAGACGCAACAGAAAATTTAAATTGTCGCCCTTATTTTCTATTCGCAGCATTCGATCCCAACACTAGCCAATGGGTGCGTTCAGAAAACACAACAATTGCATAACTGTTGTAAATGCTTGTCAACACTTGATGTTGATTTGTTGGCTCTAAAAGATCTGATAGAATACTTCAATAGCGACGAGCGCTCACACAACCAGAGAGAAGACTGAGAGTGGACCAGAGCTGTCAGCAGCAATGCTGCCAGAAACGAGCGGCGGCATCACACTAATACAACCGAGAACCGATGACGTCACCCTATCCGTGTGAGCTCGACCCGGTCGACCAATGGAAGAGAACGCCGTCTCCCTTCCACCAAGCCGACGCAACAGACGATAAATGCACGAAGTAAAAGTAAGGAGACGTAACTACATAGATTGAAAGTGGTCACGAAAAATGTTCCGTGAAGGAGGAGGTTTGCCGAGTGGAATAACTTGCAACATTTCGTCGCCATCTTTAAATTGTCAATGACAGATGAGACCACAGTGAGAGAAAGGTTATAAGGATTAGAAAAGCATGGAACGTAAGTATGAAATTGAAATAAACAAATAAATTTTTTAAAATAAAAAAATGTTACAAATTTTTAAAGAACATAAAGAATATAAAGAATATAAACTTCTT